AAGTCGCCTCAGACATAATTGCAAAGATTCTCACTTTGAAGAAACAACTTTGCAAGAGCTCTCTAGGACAAATAGTGGGACTTCGCCTGATTCGAACAAGGAACCAACTGCGAACCGTTTTGAAGTGTTCCTCATCAGTGCAGACCATGCTATCACGGTTGTATACACACAGGGACTCGTTATTCCTCCTAGAGAGCTCTTGCACAGTACCATGGTTCATGAATAACAAAACTCGTTCTTCATCTTGTCTTTTTTCTTGTTGAAATTAAAGTATATTTTGTCACATCCGATCCCATGAATTTTTAAAATCTACTTGAAACATAGTTCATCATTGTCGAAATGATCTGGGTTACTTGAATATTACACAAATGCAAAATTATCATTTGTACAATTTTCTTAGGTGCCCAACATGGTTTTCATCGACTGTATTTTTTTGAGCAGTTTATATGAATATTTGTTATGTTGAGCAGTGTTTAAACGCTTTGATTGCATGCCTGTCTTAAACTCGTCGTTTGCGCAGACCTAAGACACCGACGCGTGGGTCTGCGCGTAGGAAAATTCAAACCACAAATCAGCCTTTATGAAATTACTGTATACAAAATACTGTGACCAAAGATGAGCGCTGTAGCTACACTTCGTCCATTATTGTGTTACAGCGACATGCAGCGTCGAGTAGAAGAAGCAGTTTTGCAGAAATCAGGCAGGAATCCTTTTTACACTATTCTTCATTTCGAGGTTAACTGGCAGAGGTCGGTATCATTTTAATTTTGAAAAACTATCAGGTTGTTTCAGAAGTTTTGTATGTTTCTATGAGTTTATTTTGATCTGTAATAGGTATCTCAATGAACACTCATTCAATTTGATCAAAATAAGCGTCATTTGAATCAGTGCACTTTTGCTAACGCAACAAAAGTCAATTGATTCCGTCAGCATAAAAATTTTGTGTGCTCGGATTTTGATGAGGCAGTTTTTGCCTGATCCTGATTGGCGAAAAATCGGCCCAGTACGTAGTTACATCTGGGGTACCACAAGGTTCTAAGCTTGGACCAATGTAAAAAAAACATTTACAAGAAAAAAGCGGATTTACAGAAATGGCAAAAAATTTCAAAAGTATTGCCACCTTAAAATTGCTATATTTTGCGTATGCCAGATCTAAGTAAGAGTATCGCTCTGTGTTATGGAATCCAGTTTACGACTACCGAAAAAGATCAATTGAGAGATCAAAGGAAGTTCCTAAAATACTTATGTCTAAAAGTTGATGGTCAATACCCCACGAGAGGCGTCGATCATCGATCATGTTGACACGATTTGATATGACATCTTTGTAAAATAGGAGAGTTATCCTTGATATAAAATTCCTGCATAAATTACTAAACAACAATATTGACAGTACGGTTCTTTCACCCGAGATCAATTTCTTAGTACCGTTCTTTGAATAATTGTTTTGTTGATTTCAAAGACTGTATCAATAATAACAAAATTTCAATAGGTGGAGTCACGGAACATGGCTCGCTCCAGAATATTTAGATAAATTTGTTACTATACCTAATAGGCCAGGCGTACTATATTTTTTTGAGGAGAAAATTCCTTACAGGGCAAACTCAACGGGAATGGGTTGGAAAGTACTTGATAAAAATAGCTGCGTAAACGCAAGCGAAACATAACTGGAATCACCTATAGGTGTGACACCCAAGTCAACTTGCCAAGTTTTTTATGTCAGTGTTGGTGGTTTGACCAATATTGGTCAAACCTAACCTAACCCAACCTAACCTAACCTAACCTAACCTTCTAATCTAATCTTAATCCTATCCTATCTAATCTTAATCTAATCTAGGCAGCTATAGCTACCTACGTGGTTGTTGACTCCGTTCATATGTGTTGTTTCCTGCTTTCGGCAAACAAGTGTTGATTTTCACAAAACAAATTAACAGATTAACACTTGTTATTTTACGATGAAACACTCTATAAAACGCTCTGACTGAAAAGACGCTCACGTACTGATTTAAACGGTGTTCCGTTCGAAGCACAGCTGTTGCTCCAAAATTTCTAATTCAAACAATAAATACCCCCTCTATGATGCTTTGATCTCTGAACATGAACTACAAAATTCAAATTAACATTTGTAGGTAAAGAAGAGTGAATTAATATCAACGACAGTTTAATCGTGTACATAAGGTAGTGTACATACATTAACAAGCACAATTTTTCATTTTTTTGCATTTTAAACGTTTTTTTGCTTGAAGTAGTATATTTTTATTTTTTCATCTGAAAGCTGATGTAATTACGAAAAAAATGAGCGGTGTGAAAGTTGTCTAGGCCAAAAAAAACCTTTTTGAGCAACTTAAAAAATTTTTTTTTTGCGTTTTACTCGAAAATTTTGACGTTATGTGAAAAAAGTATAGATACAAAAGTTATAGATTTTTTCATTATCTACAACTTTCTTATACAACTTTTTTCTCTAAAACAATTATTTTGTCCGCAAACCGCGAAAAACCGTTTTTCACCCATTTTCACATCCACCGTTCCGCCCCTGCAAACATTCAGCTGTTGAATTTTTGCCCCAACATTACTGACTACGTTTCCAACCCATTCCTGTTGAGTTTGCCATGTAAGGAATTTTTCTGAAAAATCAGTATTTTTCAACATAGTACGCCTGGCCTATAACTGCAACTTGATACGTATGGACCGTAATGGTAGAGGTGGTGGCGTATGTTTTTTTATCAAATCGCTGTATAAATACAAATTATATTACTCTTCAATTTCGCCAAATGGTCTAGAGCACCTATGGATTATAGTCAATATAAACAAACAAACAGTATCCTGTGGAGTTGTTTATCGCTCACCAGGAACAAATGTAGAGGACTGTATGCAGGAGTTAGCTGATTTACTGGAACGAGTGTATTTGGAAATATCTAGTGTAGTGTTAGTTGGTGATATTAATATTAATTTGTTAAACTGTGTCTCTCGCGACACTCAACTATTCACTGTTTGTGATATGAATCAAATTGTAGAAAATTCTACTCGGATAACAACTTCTGAATCTCTGATTGATGTCATTTGTATTAATAAGGAAGTAATGGTAAGAAATTCTAATACACTTGATATGAGTGGTATAACTGATCATCTGATGGTATTTTGCGATATTGATTTCGAAGGCGAAGATACTTATGATTGATTTTTTATAGAAATTTCAAGAATTTCAATCATGAACTTTTTTCTCAAGGTGCTGCTAACTTATATGGGGTGATATTGTAACTATGCAAGATATTAATTCCAAAGTAAATTTTCTCAACGAATGCATCATTATGTTTTTTGACAAACATGCTCCAATTTGCACTGTAAACAGAAAACATAAAGCATATCCGTATATAACTTATAATATCAAATTGATGATGAAAACCCGTGATAGAGCTCATGCCAAATATCTTAAAGAAAAGACAGCATCCGCTAGACAGTACTATGTAACTTTACGCAACTACGTCAATGACGCAGTAAAACGTGAAAAAACAGCATATATACAATTCGTTTTGAATAAAATTGAAAACAATTCAAAAATAACATGGAGAAATCTTGCATCCTCGTAAACCAATAATAGCCTTCTAATTGAACTACGTAGACCTGAAGAAATCAATGACTATTTTTTAAACGTGGCTGGACATTCAATAGTAAATAATGACACTCTTTAATTCTACATTAATAATAAATTAAACGCTCCTACGAACTTTTCCCTCACCGATATATGTGATGATGATATTTTGACTGCTATCAAAGACATAAAATCTGAAGCTTTACATATTGACAATATAAATATCAAGATGATTTCTTCAGTAATACCACACTGTATTGATGGAGTTAAATATATTTTCAACGAGTCCTTCAGACAGGGTATTTTTCCAGATGTTTGGAAAGTTGCTAATATAATTCCAATTTCGAAAAAAAATGCACCTAACACCTACGCCCTATCAGCAGTCTGCCCTCATTCTCTAAAATATTCGAGAAAAATGTTTCCCGTCAAATAAGAGCTTTTCTGGAAGGAAATCGAATACTCCCGTACGAGCAGTCTGGGTTTCGCAAAAAACACGAAACACAGACTGCCCTCTTGAAAGTAATCAACGGTCTTGCGAGATTCAGAGATCAATCGAAAGTCACCATTTCAATACTGCTTGATCAAAGTAAAGCTATCGATTTACTCATCAGCAAGCTCAAGTTCATAGGATTCAATGACATTTCTCTTGAATGGATGACCAGCTATCTCACAGGCCAATCACAGAGGGTCAAACTGGATGATTACTCATGGTCATCCCTAGAAGAAACAATCTCAGGTGTACTGCAGGGAAGTATTTTAGGATCCTTGATGTTTTCAGTGCTTATTTTTGATTACCCCCACTTTCTTATCACATTGTCAAGTACATCTATACGCAGATGATATACACTTATATTTGTCTTCTAATAACATCGATACAGAAAAATGCGTGGCCAATATAAACACAGATTTGCACAAAACATTCATATACTCGAAGAAACATGGACTGAAAATCAATCCAAATAAAACTTTGGCCTTATGCATAGGGTCTCAAAGACAAATAGTAGAAACTCAATGTAGCTTGATAACTCTTGATAACGCAGACATTGACTGGGTAGACAGTGCTAAAAATCTTGGCTTAACCATAGATAGCTCTTTGTCTTTCCATGAACATGTGACAAACATTTTCAAAGTATCATTCTTCAAACTCAAATCGCTATATAAATTCAAGTATCAGTTATCAGAAGAAATGAAACTCAGGTTAGTTAAAACTCTTATTTACCCCCATATCGAGTATTGTTGTTCGGTGTATTACAATTTTTTGCCGCAATATAACAAACAGACGTTACAACGTATACAAAATGCCTGCATGCGATTCGTATGCTGTATGCTTATTAGCTTGTATGAGCCTGAGGGTGGGGAACGAATAGTTCCAATAAATTCGGCACTTCTCGTTCCCCTCAACGGATTCAATATCTCCCGGAGCGTAGGGCAACACCGGTGTCTCGTCAATACCGTAAGAGTGCCGTAGATGGTAGTATAGCACTCTTAGGGCCGCGTTATGTCGATGGATATAGGCCGAGACCGCATATGCTGGACATGCTGATAGCAAGTGCATTAGGGTCTCGAGCGCCTCGCGGCAGGCCCTGCACCTTGTGTCAGGAACCTCTATACCCATCACGCGACTGCGGTAGACTAAGGTGTTGAAGACACCATCCTGGCAATCCATGATGAACTCCTCAGTTTCCGACTTCAGCCCACTCGACCTGAGAAAAGCGAACGTCAGGCGCTTTGATAAGCCAAGGTCTTCAATGTTATTGAAGAAGACCCCATGCATTAACTTATCCTTGTGTCTCCGCAGAAGTAAGGTGATCTCTGCGGCTTTTATCTGACCTTTTTGCTGAACGGGTTCCAACTCGGTGACAGAGTTGTAGTCACCTCGTTCAGAGTCGAAAACTATACCAAGTTCATCAGCTGCTCGGGCAGCTGCCCTAAGGAGAAAAGCTCCAATTCCTGCTTCTCTGCATGGTCCATGACCATGACCATGACCATGCTGGGGATCCGAACTCCTGACGACTTTACAGGCTGTATCCAGTACCATTCTGTCATGTAGACATTCCAAACTCAAAAGTCCACAGCCTCCCTGTTGTCGGGGGAAGTACAACCGTGGAACGGACGATTTGGGATGCATACTCCTATAGTATCTATGGTATCTTGTGTCCACAATCACTTTTAATAATACTATGAATAACATTTGTGTCAGTACTGCTACATTGCATAATTTGTAACTTCCTGTGTTATATAATCAATTTTTCATTCCTCTTTTGAAATTCTACTTTTACGAATATTTTATAAATACGTTGTTCCAGCATTTACTTCCATACATTTCTATATCCCATTATTTTTAATATTTATTTCATATATGCTCTGTAATAAAAGCATTTGGCGTTTGGCATTGTCTGAATAATTTGTGTTGTTTCTAAAAAAATGTCAATGCCTTACAAAAAACCAGTCATCAAGAGTCAGGCACGTGATTTTTTTAAAAAATGTTCAATTATTTTCAAAGTGTTAAATGTGAGTCGGATTCGTTTTCATATGTGAAAAATAAAACACCTCGCTACAGGTAGCATTGAATAAATTTGAAAAATAACTATTTCAACACAAATCTTCATTTTATATTAGGTATTTCAATATGAACCATTGAAAGAGGGGTTGAAGAATGGGAACCATTAATTTCTGCAAATAACGGAGAAGCAAAATTTTCCACCCCGAGAAAGAAGCGGCCTAGAAGAGCACCATCAACTGATATTACCCAGTATAAGTATTCCAATAATAGACGGATTATTTACGACTTTCATAATATGGAAGGGTGTGGTAATACGATAAAAAAGTTCCAACACAAAACTAATGACGTTTTGGAAAAACTTAACTCCAAATTCATCCGTGAATTCGGTAGTCGTGACCGATAATGCTCCATAGCATAATATTCAAACTAAACCAGCCCCCAACATAAATTCTAGGAAGGCTGCCATGGTGAAGTGGCTGCCCCTAACATGCTCAAACCCAAATTATACGAGTTGATCATGGTAAATAAAAATCATCGTATTAGATACAAATTTGATGAGGTTTTGCTTGAACAAGAACATAACGTTTTGCGACTTCCACCCTACCATCCAGATTTGAATCTCTGTGAACTCATTTAGGCTACTGTCAAAAACAAAGTGTTTTAAAAGAATATAACTTTCAAATTGGAAGTTATGAGTAAGCTGGCGGAGCACGAGTTTGATCAAAGCACTGCCGAGGAATGGCAAAAGCGTTGCCCACATCTAGTAGAAATAGAGCGGAAATATTGGGAAAATGAAACATTCACAGACGTTCAAGCAGGGGTAAATCTAGTGATTATAAATTCAAATGACGATATCAGCACAAGCACAAGCAGCAGTGAAGATGATAGTGACTGATTGAAGTTCATTGTTGGATAAGTGTATCAGTCTGTACCTGCACGATCGCTCGCCATCAGCCGTGGCATGTACATCTCGATTTATTTATAACTTTCGCAATTTTTTATGTGCTGAAAAATGGTTTCAGCACAGTTTTCTAGCAATCATTACGGAAAGAATGAGCCATTGCACGTTTTTTCCCAACTATTATCTCTGTTTTGTAATATTTTCACTTTGTGAACTAGACCATAATGCGTCTAATTCACGACGTGTCAAAACAAGTATACTGTAAGCAATAACTCATTTATTTTATTTCAGATCTTTCCATGAAGTGCCTTTTACACAATGGACAATAAAAAGAAGTTTTGAGGCATTGTTTGAGACAGTGTGGGTGAAACAGGTGATTACAGGGTGTTATTCTCGCGCTTGACATGCTACACAAGCAGACGGCACATATGTCAGCCCATTCTTGTATGTCCTCTTTGGTAGCCACTCGAAAACTCCGATAAGTCTGCCTCTCCGCTCTGAGGGTCTTCCAGTTGTTGTGGTATACATCTTTTATCCGAAGATATATAACAAAGTATACAGTGAGTAAGATAAAATGGGAATATTTGAAGAGGAGAAGATAGAATATCGTCACAGTCGCTGCTGCTATTGCCACGAAGTTCAGAGCCATAGGAACATAGAGATGTTCCAGATTTTCCAAACTTTCAATGTTCAAAATTTCAACCAGCTCTGGTATGATCTGGAGGAATATCTTCTCGGAACACAAGTAGTAAATGAAAGTCGCGATACTGTAGATCAATTTTGGTTCATAGTAGATGCCTTGTTCTCTGAGACACATAACTATAACAACGGCTTTGGCCCACTCGATCAATATTTTACACATCCACTGCAGAAAGAGCCTTCTATTGGAAAAATTTAGAATTGGTCTTACTCTGTTCGTCTGCCAAACGTCTCGCATTCTTGATACGAAGTAGGCGAATACAGAGTAGAAGAGGATACTTGATAAGGCGATAACGACGCTTTTGTCTCCTCGCGATTCGTCGAATTCAGGATGTTTATCAGTTGCGGCGTCGAACAAGATGAAAAAACAAATCTGGAAGAAATTGAACGAAACGTATTAATTGTATGGATATGGTAATCATAACGATAATTGTGTGATATTATTCAACAGTGATAACATAAAAACCTTGATTTTTTTATAAAATTTGTTCGTTAAAACTATATTTTCAGATGTTCTGCAGCTGTAATACTAATAGACCAGAGCTGAAGCCATCAAAAATGGTAAAAAGTGAAAAAAAAAAATAGTACAATGAAACCGATTATAAAAGGAGGGGAAAACGATAAAAATTAAAGGAATAATAAATTACGGGTGATCTGAGTTAGAGAAGTGGGAGGGGATGAGTTTTGAAGGGTAAAAAGTGGTTTATCTTGATTTCCGGCAAATCTCTGGAAAAAAGTTAAATAAAAAGATCCACAATTTTTTTATTCACAATTTTTTCAACTAACAAACAAATAAGTTTAATATAATAGTTATTTATTATACAACACAACTCGAGGTTGTGTTGTCTCCCCACGCGAAGTGGAGGGAGACAAAAAACCGAGAGCTAAAATCTAATATTTTTCCCGTGTATAATGCACAATTTTTTCTGTGACGGGAAGAAGGACGATTCAATATTGAAAAAAACATATTATTACAATATGTTAGAGTCAGAAAATTATCGATGTGAAATTTGAATTTTTAAACAGGTAGGCTGTGGTGCTTATAGCGTTGCTAGAAAACCAATCAATAGAAAAGCAAATATATGTGCTGCAGGTTTCTCCGGGTTTTCCTGCAGCTGAAAATGCAAATGCGCCACTGGAATCAATGAAGTTGCCCCGGAGCGCCAATTAATTTTTATTGTTTTGTTTTTATTTTTATCGTTGTTTTAATAAAATATTTGTCAATTTAATTCTGTGATTTGATTTAAAAATTGCGAACTCAGTGGTTCGTAGTTATTTTGAAAATTGTCTAATTCCGAGTTTTCTCTGTCTCCACCAGACTTAGTAGAAGCAGCGAAAGTAGCGTCACCAAAATTATTGCCAGCTAAATCGTGGAAAATTATAAAAAAGACATTCAGTTCTTCCACGGAGACGGTGTTGTTGGCTTATTTTTCGGAACTGGCACAACAACAAAAGCCATCAACAGTGTGGTCGAATTATGTACCTATATTATTATATTAAAGTTGTTAGTCATGTTGAGATATCTTATGAGGTCATTTTCATAAACTACATAGAGTATTGGTTCCAGGATCGAGCCTTGCGGAACTCCTTGAGGTATGTGTAAGGTATCTGAGGTATTGATTAAGTTTCACAACTTACTTTCGATTGCTTAGAAAAGACTCTAGAAGGTGCAGGGATACTCCCCTGACACAATATCTCGATAACTTAGAAATCAGTAGTTTATGATCGACTCAGTCGACAGCGCGTGAAAAGTCTAGAAATAGGCCCATCACAAATTTGTTGTTGTCCAGATGTTTCATTATATGGTTCTGGAATTCACAGAGAGTAGATTCTGTACTTTTCTCTTTAATGAAACCATGCTGCGATATTTGTCGAAGAAAGCACACAGCTGGTTTTTCATATTCAGCTCAAACAATTTTGAAATACTAGAAATAATGCTCATAGATCTATAGTTATTTCACTTGTTATACCACTTGTATCTGTAACTTATGCAATTGCGTCCTACAAACACATTTTCAAACGAATGTTTTCCTTTGAAAATGTCCTTGTAGGACGAAACTGCAGTACCTGTACCTAACGTTAGTTATAAATACATAGGAAGTTTAATTTTCATTTTTCAATAAGATAATAACTATTCATCAGCTGATACTTTGGAATATGATAATTATTGTAAGGCACAGGTACGAAATTCTATGGATAATGGTAGACGTCAAAAGAATCTAAGCGACCAAGATTCGACAGAAGCAGAAGTGGCTGATTATTGCTGATATTCTGAATAATGCTGATATGAATCCCGAAGCATTTATTCCAGTAAGTATTCCAGTATTTAAAATTGATTTTTACCTGTGGAATTGGCCGCGGTGGTAGTGCGAGTTATGTGAAGAGATTTTGCAGACTATCCAAGGAAATGCAGTGCTTGCAGATTCCCACCCCGGATCCAGAAACGATTATCATCGTAACTTTTTACTCATTCATTTTGCAGATCTCGATGTGAGAAGTTCTCTAGAAATTTATATTGTAATTTTGAATAAAATAAATTGTTTTTAAAAACGGTTTTCGACTTCAAAGTTACTTAACTTGCGCCTGACTCACGATCGGAAGGCTGTGGGTTCGATTCCCGCCTCGACCAGATATTTTTCTCTAGAGAATTCATCTCGTTGAAGCTAGGATGATTCTGCAACCGTGTTAGGGATCACACGTTAAAAGGTAAGACTTCGTTAGTCCTTAGCTCGCACAAGTTTTTCAACTCCTGAGAGTTGTCGTTCGTATGGGGGCGACAGTTGATTAACGATAAAACAGATTTTAAACAGATGTTTTTTAAACCCTAATAATGTTGAAAAGTACCTCTCTCTCTCCGTTATTTTGAATTTCATGCGTGAACTTTTTATTCCGAGATCCAATTCTGTAGAAAGCAATCTAAACTCTACCATTGTTTCATTTCAGTTTATGACCAGATGACCTGACTTTGTATCGAAACGTTCATCGAGAGACACTGTTATTTCTGATTCATGGTATGAATGTTTTCATCACCCCCCACTCTACTTATCAATAATCAACTAACCTGGCAGACAAATGCGTATATACTGTGAATTTTAATGAAAAACTGTTCAACATAATGTATTTCCTCCATCAATTCTCTTCCCATTTCCATGAAAAACGTCGATAGAGATGGAAACCATCCTGGAATTAAATAAATATTGTAGCTTCCCCATTCACCATGGAAATAATTTTTACCTCGTCTTACTTTCATTACTGTTCAAGTAATCATCCGAGTTAGATTCAGGAAGGGTTGTGGTCATAATAAACTGGAATAATTTTGATTATTTTTCCGAATGATGTGAAAGAAATGTCAATTATAGTGATTTTGAAGCTTGAAGTTGAGATAAATCAATTTGTTTCTGTCACTAATGACATACCGCATGATTTCCCAAGTCTCTATACAAGTGGACCAAATTAACATTGACATTACGTGAAGAAAACTTTCTGAATTCAATAATAGTCGTAATTTGAAATTGAAGTATATATATTATTTCTAAAAAAAAATTCACTAGTAATACAACTAGTGGTTAAATTATTTTCGGATATTAATTTGACCTCGCATGGTATTCGGTAAGAAAATTCCACACCGGAATGTGGTGAAAAATTAAATATTTTTAAAATACATGATATGGTAGCAGCCACTCAATATAACCATATATGCAAATAGACTCGGGCCATTATCAGGAAATAATTAACACAATAAGGTCTGTTTCAACTTCGGCAAAGACGATTCAAGAATCTCTGAATCAAGAACAAGCAACTACTTCCAATCAACCTGCCATAGTCTATAATAATTGTGTTTTCCATATAAAGAATAATTACAATAGTCAAAATAATATATTTAGATTTATCATCACTTGTAACTATTCATATAAAATAAAAAACTAAAAACTCATCTTTTTTTAAGCCAAAGTGACAACCTGAAGCATAAAATAATATATTCTTCTATGTTATATCAATTTTGGATTACTACAAGGAATAGAAAGTTATAATTATATCATAAAAGTAGCCAAAAGTTAATTTTTTCAGATGAAACCCCCCATATATCACTCGATAAATTGAAAGTTGGTAAAAAATGCTTCAAGATGATATATCATGTCCCTATA